GGTATTTTCACGCAAATTCTTCTGCTAGTTGGGGTTTAGTCCAAATCTGCATCCTTTCCTTCAAGGCTCAGGGGTCCAAGATTATCTTCTGTGTCTGTATTTATTGGTTTCCCTTTTCTTTGTTGAAGAGGGTCTGTGCAATCCTTCTGCCTAGTCCGCCATCTTGCCCCGCCTCTGATACTTCCTAATTTATTCTCTTCTCTAATTGTACTGGCTGTCCTTAAAAAAAAAAGTTGGGCAATAGTGCTATTGTTGTTGTTGTTAGGTGCTGTCAAGTTGGTGCCGACTCACAGGAACCCTATGCGCAGAACGAAACACTACCTAGTCTTGTGCCGGCCTCACAATCCCTGCTGTATCTGAGCCCATCGTTGTAGCCACTGCATCAGTCCATCTGGTTGAGGGCCTTCCCCTTCTTTGCTGGCCCTCCACTTTACCAAGTATGATATCCTTCTCCAGGGAATGGTCTCCTCAACATGACCAAAGTAGGTGAGACAAAGTCTGGCCATTCTCATTTCCAAGGAGCATTTTGGGTGCACTTCCTCCAGGACAGATCTGTTAGTTCTTTTAGCAGTCCATGGTACTTTCAGTATTCTTTGCCAGCACCACAACTCAAAAGCATCAACTCTTCTTTGGTCTTTTTTATTCATTGTCTAGGTCTCACACGCATATGAGGCGACTGAAAATATCATGGCTTTAGTTGGGCACATCTTAGTCTTCAAAGAGACATCTTTGCCCTTCAGCACTTTAAAAGAGATCTTTTGTAGCCCATTTGACCAGTGCGGTACATAGTCTGATTTCTTGCCTGCTGCTTTTATTGGTGTTGATTGTGGATCCAAGTAATATCTAATCCCTGACAACTTCAATCTTTTCTTCGTTTATTGTGGTGATGTTTATTGGGCCTTTTGTGAGGACTTTTGTTTTCTTTATGTTGAGGTGTAATCCATACTGAAGACTAGTCTTTAATCTTCATCAGTAAGCGTTTCAAGTCATCCTGATCTTCAGCAAGCAAGGTTGTGTCATCTGCATATTGCAGGTTGTTAATGAGTCTTCCTCCAATCCTGATGCCACGTTCTTCTTCATGTAGTTCAGCTTCTTGGATTATTTGCTCAGCATATAGAGTGATAAGTATGGTGAAAGGGTACAACCTTGATGCACTTCCTTCCTGATTTTAAACCATGCAGTATCCCCTTGTTCTGTTTGAATGACAGCCTTCTGGTCTATGTACAGGTTCTTTATGAGCACAGTTAAGTGTTCTGGAACTCCCATTCTTGTCAATGTTATCCACAATTTTTTATGATCCACACAGTTAAATGCTTTTTTTAGTCAATAAAACACAAGTAAACATCTTTCTGGTCTTCCTTGCTTTCAGCGAAGGTCCATCTGACATCAGCAATGATATCCCTTGTGCCATATCCTCCTCTGAATCCAGTTTGCATTTCTGGAAGCTCCCTGTCAATATACTACTGCAACCGGTTTTGAATTATTTTCAGCAAGATTTTACTTGCATGTAATACTAATAATATTGTTCAGTAATATCCACATTTTGTGGGATCACCTTTCTTTGGAATAGGTACAAATACTGATCTCTTCCAGTCAGTTGGCTATCTTCCAAATTTCTTGGCATAGAAGATTTTTTGCACATTTCATTATTATGATTGACTTTGTCTTTTTGAGTTGTTTGTAATCTTCTGTTCAGCTTTTTTATCTTGTCATTTCTTTCATTTGCTTTAGCTACTGTCCATTCAAGGGCAAGTTTCATAGTCTCTTCTGACATCCTATTTAGTGTTTTCTTCCTTTCCTATCTTTTTAGTGACCTTTTGCTTTCTTCATGAATGATATTCTTGATGTCATCCTACAGTTTGTCTGGTTTTTGGTCATTGGTGTTCAATGCATCATATCTATTCTTCAGATAGTATTAGTTTATATATTTAAGCATAATCCTAGCTTTCATTTAGATAGGTAAGAATATAGGTATATTTATTTCTTTAGTTTTTTTTTTTTTTTTTAATGTGGTTCTTTTCACCAGCTTCTATATTCTTTTTTCTTACTTTATAAAATTTGATTGATTGATTTTCATTCTTTGGGGGTTTTGTAATGAAAGTGTTTTAAAGTCACTTTTTCTCTGAGAACAAGTTTAGTCATCTTATGAGTTGATTTATATTAATTTATACTTTTTTTCTATATTTTAATGCTGCAACTTGAGTTTTGATTCCTTATAATCAAAAAGTCGTGGGAGAAAATTTTTTAATATTTTAGTTGCTTACTCATTTTCACTTTTGTGGATAATTTCACAAAATTCCATATTCCAACAAATATGGTTTGTATCACTGCTACATTTTAGGATTATTTATGTTTTTTTATGGCTTTATTACAGTCCTTTTTAAAAATTAATGTTGTATGAGTATAAATAAAGTACATAGACATAAAATCACAATACATGCATGTACAGATACATTTATGCATAGAGTCACATACACATAAAAGGCAACCTTGTTTTTACTCAGACCCTTTACAGTATTAGTTCTGAGGGATCAAGTTAAATTGTGAGTGCATAAGAATAGTTATTTTACCCTTTCTCATAATAAAATGCGTCCTTCTTTGTACTATTGCTTTGACTTCAGTTTTGTCAAATATTAATAATGTGAGCAATGCATTTTGAAAATGGTAGGTTCTAATTACGTCTTTGTCCATCTCTTTATTTTTCAGTTATTTACTTCTTTTTCCTTTCTATTAATTTAGAATAGTAGATTAGATGGTTAGATTAGATGGTTAGCTCACCTGAGAGGTACCATAGGAGGAAGTGGCCCTGTACTTGAGAGTTGAAATATAAATAGGAGATGAATGAATAGAGGTGGATGGATCTTGCTGACAAGAGGAAAGAATAAAAAAAGGTCTAATGATAGGATGGGGGGTGTGAAGTATGCATGGAATGATCTTACATGTTTATATTTTCTTATTCCAACAGCACAGAGCAGTGCATCATTAACTTAATGTGCATTAATGCACATTCTTTGAGTTTTATTTTGCATTTGTCAGTCTTATTAGGTAATGTTTGGGAGTGATGGTGGAGGTGATAACCTCTCATTCAAGAAATATTTTGTATCTATTATATTGTGAATCAATCTAGAACCTGCTTTCCTGCAGTCCCATTTCTTCTTCTTTTCTTTTCTGCCTTGCTCACCTCACACCCTACCCTGCCCTCCTGCAAATAATTTCCTTGCGGAAGGTTGGGCAATCCTAGTTCTGCAGTGATACTGCCTCGGAAACCCAAGGAGGGGTCGCTATGAGTCGGGGCCAACTCGACAGCACATAACAACAACAACAACAACATCAAAGAGGTGAGATTAAAAATGTGGCATATATGGGCAGATGGCTATGTCTGCTGGCCCTCACCATCTATTTGTCCCTCAAGAAGCAAGCACTTCTCAGGATGGTGGCTGCTGAGAATTGAATGAAACAATTCAGTTGCCAACAGTATTTTTCAGCACTCACCATACACAGATTACTGTGTAAAGGCGTGGAAGCCAGAACCTACTTTTGAATGATATCATTGAATTTGCGAAATTTAGGTTTTCAGAAATAATACTTTGGCTTTTGGAGGCAGAGACTTGAGAATGTTATGGCTTTTACATAACATTGTCCATTTTTTTCTATTCACAGGGGACTCCTTCTCACAGTTTCGGTTTGCTGAAGAGAAAGAGTGGGATAGTGAAGTGTCATGTCCAAAACAGGTAAAATTAAAATTTGTCTTGAATGTTGATGGGCTCTTCTCAAGGCGAATACCTTTTACATCACTGCTGAGATAGAGTCTTCACAGGGAAAAGAGTCTTTCGTTTATACATAGTTTATTCTCAGTTACATAAATTGTTTTGAACATTTTCAGAGGCCTAAAGTTACTCAGATTCTTGAAGCTAGAGTTCATCTTCATATCTGACCCTGTGTGTGAATTACTCATGGAAGGTTTATAGTCATGATTTTGAGTGGATCACTTTGCCACTTGGCTTTCCCTGTTGGTTGCTTTGTAACAACTCCTTTTAGAGTTGCAACTTACTTTTTTCCTTTACAGTTTTTGATGTTACATGAGAAAATTCTTATTGTGCCCTGTAGCTTTAAATAACTCTTCTTCTATAATTGGGAGAATAAAGGTATCAGATAAGAATAAACATCACAGAAGTCTTTCTGTGAATCCATTAACTTCACACACTTTATTTGCTTTGTGTTTATGCCATGTGTTCTTCCCAAGGAGTTCTAATTAGTTTCCGAGAAGGATTTCACAGATACTTTCCATTGTAAGACATGATAGGCATTCTCACCATTTTAAAATGGGCCAAGAATTAGTGGTGACTTGTTATATGTTCCTTGATAAACAAACAAAAAAACAACCAAAAGTCAAACCAGTTGCCATTGAGTGGATTCTCATTTACGATGGTCCTGTGAGTGTCAAAGTGGGTTTCCAATGGCTGCTTTTTCTCAAGTAGATCTCTAGGCCTTTCTTCTGAGGGTACCTTTGGGTGGACTGGAACCGCCAACTTTCTGGTTAGCAGTCAAGTGTATTAACTGTTCACACCACCTGTGGACTCGATACTGCCTATAAATTGATTAGCAAATCCGCCTCATGCTTCAGGGAGGTGTCTGAGCAACAAACCAGGAAAGGACGACCCCAACCTCCCTATTTTGCTACCAGTTCAGTATACCTGCTGCAGAAGGCTTATTTTACCTCTGGGCAGTTATTTGTTCAAGAAGGACAGTGATTTATAGTATAGACTGTGGGTAGGAGAGTTACTTGTAAAATGAATGTCTAGCACTTTACAAAGCACATATTATATAATATAGCAAAAATAGCGAATTTATATTATCTGTCTTGAGTCTGTCTGGGCATGTGTGTGAAGTGCAGTTTAGAATATTAGGATAAATTGAAAGCAGGTAAACAGATTGTTGTAGAATGAAGTGAAAATCAAACAGCTTGTATTTCAAGTCCGTTTGGACCATGTTGACTATCAGAAAATATTTCAGTTGGCGAACCATGGTCCTATAAGTTTATATGAATGATCAGAATTCCCAGGTGTATAGTAAGCTGACAAGGGGCAAGGTTGGGGTCACTGTTTGGTCATAGCCAGCTACCCAGAGGGACTGAGTAGTTGAACCTGAGGGCTTGGGACCATAGTCGCAGGGGACATCAAGCTCAATTGGCATAACATACTATACAAAACATTGTTCCACCTCCTACTTTGGCGAGTAGCGACTGGGATCTTAAAAGCTAGCAAGCTGCCATCTAGATGCAACGATGGGTCTCTCCTCATCAAGAGTAAAGAAGAAAGAAGAAAACCAAAATTAATGGAAACAATCAGTCTTAGCGACTGGTACACCATCCGGTATACAACCTATACAGGTATGAGACCAGAAGAACTAGATGGTGCCTGGCTACCACTGTCATCCACTTGGAAGGGATGTAGGAGATCCTGGATAGAGAGGGAGAACAATGTGGAACAAAACTCAAAATCATTTGGAGGAAAAAAAAAAGGTGGGGACCAGGTTTGCTGGCCCAATAGAGCCTAGTTGAACCACTGAGACTATGGCCCCTGGCAGCCCTTCCGATCTGGAATTGAACCCACACCTGTGGTTTCCAGCCAAACAATGTACAGGCATGTGAGTTAAACATTTACCTCAAGTAGACACACGCCCTGGAGAGAGCAATCATGGGAGAAGGAAGGGCTGATTATGCACAGGGAGACAGCTCAGTGTTCAGGAGAGTATGGAGGGATGGTCACTGCGAAGAGGTAACTATGGGGGAGGAAGTGGGAGGGGAGCTGTTGCATTGTAAACTGTGGTCAATGACATGAGACAAAGTATATGTGAACTGCTGTATGGAAAGTGAATTTGCTCCGTAAATCTTCACCCAAATCACAATAAATAAAATAAAATGAAAAATATATATATATTTCAGATATTCTGAGAGTTTCAAATAATTGTAAGCTGCGTTATTCCTCAAAACATTAAATAGTTGTTACATACTAGATGCTTTATTTTTGTGGCTGTTAGTTGCCATTGAGGTGGCTCCCATTTATGGTGACCTTCATAAACCAGAATGAAGCGTTGCCCGGTCCTGCACCATCTTCACGGTCATTGATGTGTCTGAGTCCATCATCATCACTATTACATAATGCCTTCTGACCTACAGAGCTCATCTTCCAGCACTATATTGGCAAATACTCTTTTGTGCTCTGTAAGATTTGGCTAATTTTTGGAAGATCACCAGGGTTTTCTTACTAGTGTGTCTCAGTGGGGAAGCTCTGCAGGATCTTGTTCACCCTGGGTGACTTTGCTGATATTTGATGAAATGCTGGTGGCATAGCTTCTAACAGCATAGCAACGTGCAAATCACCACAATACAGCTAGCTGACAGACAGGTGGTAATTTTATTAACCAAAAAACCCCCCGAAAACCAGTTGCCATTGATTAAATTCCAAGTCGTGGCACCCCCGGGGTGTCAGGTAGAATTGTGTTCCATGGAGTTTTCAAGACTGCTTCCTTTTGGAAGCATATTGTCGGGCCTTTTTCAAGGGTCATGCTGGTGGGTTTGAACTTCCAATCTTTTGGTTGGTAGTCTGACATGGCACCAATTTCACCACCCAGGGATGCAGGGATTTTATTAGGTGTAGCTTATTCAAAGATAAATGAAATAGAGATGATCCTTCTTCACTGTTTGTAGGCCCAGTGCCTCAGCACAGTGGCTGGTATATAGTAAAAGATCATTGATTATTTACATAATACATGAAAAAGAATGTAACATAAAGTAAGTAGTGTAATAAGTAATACTGTGGGAGAAAGCTATTTTGGGCTAGAAATGATTAAGAGTGGTACCATGAGGAAAAGATCATTGGAATTGGCCTTGGTGCATGACTGTGATTCTTGTAGGGCCTGCTTGAGAGAACAACATGAGAACATGAGATCTCAAAGAACAAGTTGTACTCAGAGTGGGGTGTGTGGCCATAGTGTGGGCAGATAAATTAGTTTAAAAGGTAGGTCTGAGCATGTTAGCAGAAGCTTGAGTACAAGTAGTTTGGTCTTCAGAAGTCAGCCTAGCCTGTGCGTAAGAACATAATGTTTGGAGGGACACTCCGAGTATGAATCCTGGTTCTTGAGCAAATTTCTTTATCTGTTGTCTCATCTGTAAAGTGGAGCTAATAGTGAAACATAATTCAGAGTTGTAGTAAGGGCTAAATATAAAAATAATAAATATAAAGCCTTTGAGTGCAGTTTCTAACACATATGAAACACTCAAAATTAGCTTTTATTACTAATAATACTTTTATTAGCAATATTAAAGTTTTTTTTTTTTAAGCAAGAAATTTGAAATGGCTGGATTTGGCATCAGCAACATTAGAAAGCAGGGGTTGAACAGATGAAAGATTGGAGGCGGAAGAACCAGTTAGGAGGATATTCTGTTGGACAAATGGGAAGTAATGAGGGCCTGACTTAGGTGGTAAGAGGGGAGAAGAGATTACAGACAAATAGTACCACCTCAGTGGAGGAGGAGGTAGATTGTGGTCACTGATCAGAGAGGAGGCACAAGGATAAGAAAGATTTTAAATAGCTCTAGGCTTTCTAGCTCAAGTAGCTATGTGAGTGTTGATGTCATTAATGGAGCAAAAGAAGAGCAGGAAGAAGGTAGGTCTGATTTTGAACATTTTGAGTTTGACGTATTAGTACGGTGCGTCCAAAAACAGAATTCATCATTTCGCATCAAAACTGTTCCCTGTCTCAATTCTTCATTAGTTTATCTTCCTTCTTGCTTAGTTGAGAGAGAAAAAGAAGGGAATTAATTAACCGGTGGGTTTTTTTTTTTTTTTTGGGCTGTGGGGGTTGTCCTCATACTGCCTCTGGACCCACATACCCAGCAACACAAGACAATAAAGAGAGGTAGGGGAAAAAAATAGTAGAAACATGTTTTATCTTTTCATTGTAAAGGGACTGCAATTTTGAGAGTAGGGCATGTTCTGTGTCCTCACAGGGAATCCTGCCAGGGAGAGGGACTTGGTTTCCTGGACTTAACTTACGTTCCTTCCTTTGTAGGAGCTCTGGTAGCATAATGCCTAAGGCACTTGACTGCTAACCAGAAGGCTAGCAGTTCAAACCCACCAGCCACTCCTCAGAAGGAAGGTTGGACAATCTACTTCCGTAGTGATACCACCTCGGAAACCCAAGGGAGGGGTCGCTATGAGTTGGGTCCGACTCGAGGGCACATAACAACAACAACAACCCTCCTTTGTGGCAGCTGTGCAGGGTGAAGAGGATGCAGCCTGGTTGTCGGGCTGTGCTTGCCAAGCTGACCTTTGAACCCTAGGGAAGTTGGTCTCTTAGATCCAGGAGTGGAACATAAATAAGTGATTCACTTATTTAAGCAGGAATTTTCTTATCTTTCCTTTGGGCAGTATGGGGACATGTGAGGTGAGATCTGGTGGAAGGAGAACTTCTTTAAGTGAGAAAATAGGACCAGTATATTTTCACCTCTATTGAAAATCTTTTTTATTCAATTTTTCACTTATGTTAACATAGTGACTTTTTTTATTCAGTAGACCTTCCTTGGGCATCTACTGAGTGCTGGGTGATGGGCAGTGGTTCCTGAATGCCTGGTTTTTCAAGTTGCAGACTCCTGGCCTCCAGCCCTGAGAGAGCCCAGTTCTGTGAATGAGGCCTGGGAATCTGAAAAAGCTTCCCAGCTGATTCCAAAGTGCTGCCAAGTTTGGGTACTTTTGCTGTAAGGTGTATACTTGGTCCCTGGGCTCCTAACAGAGACAGTGAGTGCTGTGACTTCTGAGGAAGCTGTAGTGGTCTGATTAAAGGCTACTCTTTTTAGCTGCCAAGTACAGTTTATAGTGGTTCTTTTTATCACCATAGAATGAGCAATCAGAGTCTGATTAGGTTCCTGGCCAGAGAGGAATCTGGAAGATTATAGATTCTCAGCTCCTAGACAGGGTTCTTTACACACTGATGGCAGCGAAGTGGCAAAGAAGTGATTGAAGGGGCCTTGTACCAATGATCACAGCTGGCACAGAGTGTACAGGAGGGAAGTCATCAAGGAACACCCCTTGTCTCTGCACCCTCACCCCACAACATCTTACCACTAGATGTTGTTGGCTGGCTCCTATTAATGGTCAGGTGTTGTAAGCCAGGGCACCTACTCCAATTGCAAGTGACCATTAGGGCAGGTCATGTGGATATGGGGGCCAAAACAACCCTTAAAAAAAAAAAAGAAAAGTGAGTGGTGATGTCAAAAGCTAATTTATGGTCATTATTCAATTACACTTTTTTTTTTTTTTTTTAAATTCATGCTCTAGTATTGCAAGTCACTTCAGCTTGCTTTATATCTCAGGCATTCAGCTTTAGTACTTTTTTGGATAGCTGTCCCCCAGAAATATGTTTTAAAAAAATGGATTTATATAGCAGGTTCTGGGTAAGGAGAAATCAGTGTGGTTTGAGGTGTCCAGGGAGCCATCATGAAGGGGATGCAGTGTCAGCTAGCCGTGGATGAGAGCTGTGGGGGGTAGGAGACATTCCAGTACAGGAGTCAGTGAACATAATTCATTCAGAACATGGTTTATAAGCAGAGGCCCTTCCCTGTATTTTTGTGTGGTCTTTCCTTGTTTATGATTTACCTTGTAGTCATGCTGCATGTGATACAAAAGAGGGTTAGGGAAGTCTGGATACTTTTACCTAGACCCCAGCACTTCTCAGTGGTCCGTCTGTAGGGAAAGTAAGGGCGCAACATGTGAATGGCTGGTGGGAATTACACAGTGTGGTTTTGCAAACACATTGGTATAGAGTTTGGGGAAGAGTGAGATATCTAGTTTGGAATGTAGCAACCTCGCCAGTAGTTGAGTATTCAGTGTTCAAACCTACTGGGTTTGAGAGAGTTTCTCCAAACTTGGAAAAAATAAAGAAATGGCCATGTTGGTGTTGATCATAGCACTTAATGTGCTATGCTAAAAAACAAACAAAAAATCCGAAACCCAAATCCACTGCCATTGAGTCGAAAAATGAACATGTTTCCCACCTTTTCATCTGGGTTTTTATTTCTTACCTTCCTGTGTACTGTTCATTCAGTAGAAAATGCTTTGTAAATGTTAGGTTCCTCTTTCCAGGGTAAGGGGTTCATTTCATGCTGCCAGAGTTGCTTTCCTAAGAGCTATGCATCTCAGGTGAAATTTCGGAATGCCAGTAGGAAAGGAAACATTCTTTCAATCCCCAAGTACTTTGTTGTGCAGATTAGTAGTTAGGGTAGGTCTGCATTTAGGGGCAGGGCTCCTCTTGTGCCCACCAGGAATGACTCCACTTAGGTTCATTATATACCATCTATCAGAGATATTCTTGCACAGAGATCACATGGGATGACCGCTGGGTTTTCCTCTAAATTCAAGTCCGTGGTTGTAGGATAAGTCGTGATCTTAGCTAGGCCTTCTGATGGTCCTTGGTAGACATTAGGTAGTGTTTGCCTCTGATATGTGAGCTCATTTAACTACCTTTCAATTTCTTTCTTTCTCTTGGGTGGCCTTGGCACCTAGAAGAAGCTACTACTCATGGGCTATGTGAGAATCTGAATGTTTTAAAATAGTACTAATTTGTGAGGTCAGTGTATTGATACGCCTTTATTTTTATGAATGGGAAAGGAGTCAAAGGAAGATTTTCACCTTGGCCTCATACAGAGTCCTTCCGGGTGGAGGTTAAGTAGACCTCACCAGCTTCTTTGGCTATGTCTGTCAGCTTCATGTCTGTGCCGAGAAGTATGGCTAGCAAACTATAGGTGGAGGAGGTGTCCATTCAAATTTCATTAAATGTTCATTTTTCTCTCAACTTGGCAACAATTTTAAAAGCCTCCTATTTAAAGTCTGTGGACTCTACTGTGCAGTTTTGGTGTGGGGGTGTCTGGACACTGCTGTGCTCTGACAGCATAAGGTGTGCCTCAAGAGTATGGTTTGGTCTTTGCTGATCTTGAGGTGGAGACAATAGAAATTATAGCCATATTTAGTGTGCTTTATGAGTGTGACTTATGTATTGACAGTTATTTTCTATCATCTTCTGCTCTTTTATTTGCAAAAAGTTCTATTTCATCATCACCTGCCCTTTCTCTCTTTTTTCCTATATAGAATTCAGCCTTTTATGTGGACTGTGAGTCACTGGTTAAAGCTCTTCAAGAACTGCCCCTTTCACTCCGACTCAATGTTGCTGCTGAATTGGTCCAGGTAAAACCCTGATGGCATCTGTTAGCTGGTATAGATTAGGACAGGAGAAGAAAAAGCATTTCTCTGCAGGATGGCAGGGACTCACTTTCCCTTTCCTCAAGCTGAGGGTTTTGTACAAGGGGACAAAGGTTTTGCAAAGTTTTGTGAGAGGATGAAATAACTTAAAAAATATTTTCATTTATTGTTTTTGGAACATTGTTAGAAATCAGATGGAACTGAATGAAACATAAAAGTGTAAAGTCTGGCTACTCTTCAAAATATTTATGTGCCAGGTTGATAAACACAGGGGTGATAACAGTGAATACACAGATAGAGCTCTTGCTGCCATCCAGCTTCATCTGTGTTGAGAAAGGTGGGTGTTGATTATATAATTACACAAATATGGAAATTATGAAAAGTACTGTGAAGGGGATGTGCAGTGTGCTATGAGAGTACATAATACCAGATCTACTTTGGGGTGGTTAGGAACGGTTTTCCTAAAGAAGTGACAGATAAACTAAGATCTAAAGTTTGAGAACATTTGAACTGAAATTTAAAGAAGAGTGTCCCAATCAGATTTGCCTTAATAATAATCAGTAATGGTGATAATAATAATGAACATTCTGGCTGCAGAATGGAGGATTGTTGAGGGTGTGTATAAAGACACATATTCACATGCAAGTGCAAGCAAGAAGAGGAGGGGAGGCAAATTAGGTGGCCATTGTGTGGGCCCAGGTGAGTAAAACTTGGACTAGGGTAATGACCGTGGAGATACAGAGAAGTAGAATTTACCAAAAAGTTTATCAGAGGTAAAACTAATGGAGCTGGGTCATATACTGGAAACTGAGAAGAGGAGTCAAGGGAGAATCCTAGGTTTGCTGCTTGTGCAACTTAGTGTCAGGGGTGGAGGGTAAGGTTTGGCCATTTTAAGTTTGTGCTACTGAGATATAGTGGAAATATTAGTCAATTGGATCTAGACATTTATAGCTCAGGATTGAGGGCTGAAAATACAAATTTGGGAGATAGCAGTCTAAAAGATGATTGCTTAATTGACTAGGGGAAAAGGGAGCCCGAGGACTACACTTTGAGGAACTTCAATTGTTGTGATTCAATAGAATTTTTGAAAAAAGAGTGTAGTGCAAATTTGCAATACAGTCCCAGCAGCTAAAATCATTGACTTCTTACTGCACCTGAAAGTGGTACTAAGCTTGAGCACAGCGATGAAGTGGTTTCCCACTCAGTTGCTGTTTCCCTTGCACTTGCCAGTCTAGAATTTGGGGCAGCCGGCAGCAGGAAGGGGTTGGAGGACAGTTCAGAGAACTGGAGAGGGCTGTATTTGCCCATATGGGGGAATGACCCTGTGGGTTCTTTGGAAACATTTGAGGATTTTCTTAGTGACTGGACTGCTACTGGGTCTAGCATTGCTCAAACTTCTGAAGTGCCTTAGTGTGGCTCCAGATAATGAGGACTAGTTAATGGGGCGCACCTGTGAAACACTGGCAAAAAGGGGATGACATGAGCTCCAGGACTCAGGAGAGACAGGAAATGCTGTGAGCATTCAACAGTGAAGGAGATTGTTTCAGTGGAAGGCATTAGAGCAGAGGCAGAAGATAATTGGAGTAACTTTGAAAACCTAGCTAAACAGTTTTAAAGTCCACCCCTTCCCCCACCCCACTGCTGTAGGGTAACCTTGTCTGTATATTAGAATCATCTGGGGAGTAAGGAAATAAAAATAATGCCAGAAGTTCAATCTAGACTGACTAAATTATTGTAGGATTAGAATAGAGGACCAGATTCCAGCTTTGCCCTGCACACTGACTGCTGGAGGTTTCAAGTTTATAAACAAAGGCATATTATCTTAAATATCCGTGGAAGGCCCAAGGAGTTTTAACCAAACTGAATCTGTTCAGGATACTTAAACATGAGGGGTAATGCCCCCAATAGAAGTTGATGCTCATTCTGAATCTCCCCACTCTGCCATGCTAGTCAGGCAGGTTTCCCTCTGGAGCAGAGCTTCTCAACCTTAGCTAGGATGTTTATAACTTATTGAATTACAACGTATCTACAGAAAATACATGAACAAGTGTTTGTAACCATGGAATCGGCATCCAGACCAAGCAGCAGAACATTGCCAGCCCCCAAAAAGCCTTCCTCAGACTCTCCCCTAGTCACTGCCTCATCCAAATGCAGCCACTGTCTTAACTTCTAACACTAGAGAGTAGTTTTGTCTATTTTTGAACTTTTTACAGACATATTCAAAATCATGTTTTCTTCTCTGTCTGGCTTTCTTTTTTAACACAAATGATACTACTACCGTTTTCTGCTTGGTGCATTTGTGCCTCCCCTTTTATCTGGGCATTTAAGTACAGTGGACCGATGTGATTTGCTAATTACTTCTTGGTGACGTTTATCCGTTTTTAAGTTTTGTTGCAGTTTAGATATAAACTGACAGACTTGCCAGTTTTCAAGCTGGTGATAGAAAAGACATGGTCCTTTTTATTTCAACTCTGAGATAGGTAACACATAGCTGAGGTGGGTGGAACAGGAGGCACAATCTTACTTTCTTCCAGTGAGTTCTCCCACATTGACCCCAAATCAAAAAGAAGGGGGGGGGGCTGGGCAGAGGCAGAACAGGAGCCTTTTGTGAGCTTTCTGTCCGAGTTCAGTTTCCTACCCTCCAATATGATGGCTTTGTCTGGCCTTCTATGTTTTGTTTGTAGTTAAACATGTGGCAAAATACGTATTTTTTATTTGGTTATTATGTTCCTCTTTCAGAACACAGTTCCTTTAGAGCTTCCTCAGGTGAAACCAAAAAGAAACAGTGAAGGCAAAGGACTAGGCATGCAGTTAAAAGGGCCCATGGGACCTGGAGGGAAAGAGTCTGCCTCTGAGCTGAGATCTGCTACCACTTGCTCTGTGTACCTGGGTAGGGAGAGCTCAAGACCAGGGCCTTACGAGGGCTCTCAGAAACCTGCCTGCACACCACAGTCGGCAACAGACCACTTGGAAGAAGAACTCGATCTGCTGCTTAATTTAGATGCTCCTATAAAAGAGGGAGGTGACATCCTACTAGATCAGACATCTGAAGATTTGAAATCGGAGGAAGACAGGAAGGTGGCTCAAGAGGAAGAAGGTATAGCTGTCATTTCATTCCTCATCCCTCTTCACTCGGGTGTTTTGTGAGCACAGCCCTATGTTGATCGTGTCTGCACACGTCTCTAGTGCTGTCTGACATCGATCCAGTGTGGTCCACTGACATCTATTTCTGGGCTGACATCTCTGCTTCCCCCTGAGCTGACCTTTCTGACAGTGTTCCTCCCACTTCCGAAGCTGCTATTTGCCTGATTGCAGTATTTAACCTGGGGCTGGAAATTGAACTTCTGCTACAAAAATGCATTAAGATACTTGTAGCCCCCAGCTTTTCAGCGACAGACCTTTTAATCGACTAAATGGGGCTGTTAACCAACTCTTCATTCTTACTACATTGATACTATTTTTTAAAAAAGATGATCACTTCCTAATTTGTTTGTGTTCTGTGATATGGTGGCCTGAGAACCCTAGGGCAGTGGCCACCTTCATTTAGAAACTTGTATTAACTTTCTAGAATTACTATACTAGTAAACAAACTGAGCTTTTGGTCTTAAAAATTCAACTTCAGAATAGAGTAAATCTCTACCCATTTATTCCTGATGATGTTGTTTATGTGCTGTTGAGTTGGCCCTGACTCATAGTGACCCCTCCTTGGGTTTCTGAGGCAGTATCACTATGGAAGTAGGTTGCCCAACGTTTCAAGGAGTGGCTGGTGGGTTTGAACCACCAGTCTTCTAGTTAACAATCAAGTACCTTAGGCACTAGTCACCAGAGCTCCCCCATGTATTCATGCATAGATTATTGTATCTTCTTAGGGAGTAGGAACAATAATGGGAATTTTCCCCCTTGTTGTGTTGTAATTAACATGGTAACTAGGGCTGAATTATATCATGGACCAAACTCTAGGGGAACTTTGAGCTTCAGTTCTTAAGACAATGTGACATTGCTTTTGTTCCCCCAGTTCCTGTTAAACCATGTATGATTAAAGACAAGACTCTGGGATCTGAGCAACCGAGTACATCAAAAAATGTTACTGAGGAAGACCTTGAAGACTGGTTGGACAGCATGATTTCCTAAAAAAAAAAAAGTGCCTGAAGCCAACTTTGGTTGTGTTTGTTGTAAGTAAGGGAGGAAGGCTGTATTTCAACTCATTTATAAGCATGCCCCAAGCCCAGATGTTCCATTAAGCTTACTGCAGTAAATGCCTGTCTGTATGTGTGACAACATGTCAAGTAATATATGTGTTTCTGGTTTATGCTTTTTTTTCTTTTCCCTTTCTTGAGCAGGGCCTGAGGCTGTTTGTCTCATGTCTCTTTACCCACAGTCACAATGTGGGTTGCATTAGAAGAGGCCAAACCGTTGATTGGTGTGTATTACTTTATTGCAGTGGGCACTTCATTTTATTTGAGGAGATTCACCTAAACGTAGCAGCTTCACTACTTACAAAGGACCATAAAGCATTACTCAATTTTGGCGTAAGATTGAGATTCTTCTGCATTTTTAGTACAGTACTTATAGTAACAGCAGTTGACAAGCTGTTACTGAAAAAAATTAAGTGCAGTTTCATAAATAAAGTAAGATCAATACAACTAATTAATAGGACTGTCCATCTAGAACACAAACATAAAAAAACTTGCATAGCTATATCTAAAGAGGTTTTAAGGCACTTAATCGATATTTCTGTGTCGACAAAGTGTTGATTTCTTTAACTGCTTAAAGTTTTCAAGCTGATTCTGGATACATTCACTAGCAAGTACCATGAGAAAAATTAGATTGCAGTTAAAACTTTTTATACGAGTTACTTGTGGGACGCTGTCATTCATGTGTTTTAACTTTTCTTTCTGATAGACTTCATCCTTTTTACCCCTTTCCTCAATGCCGCCATCCTATCTATTTTCTAAAAAAACATTTTATCTCCCATAGTGTAATAGTGTATGTCCCTTAGGCACAAAAAGCCAAATTTCAAAAATATCATAGATTTTTAACAAATAAATACTTTCTTGTGAAGGAGGCATTTAGAAAATATCACATTTCAAATATGTTGCAGAACTGTAAAAGGAGTTTGAAGGATTTCATTGAAAGGTGACTCTTCAGAATTGTGGAGCTTGCTTCTGTCATTCAGATTTATCCAAGGTGATCTTCATATTGTTTACGAAAGCAGTCGCCAGCTGGGAAGAAATCCCAACACCTTTCTTGATACATCTTCCAGACATAAGATTCCTGAAACAATGTGAACATAGGGTACTTCTTTTAAACATTACTGTGGCTTTACATTTACAGGAGGCCAAACTGCCAAGTGCTTTGTTGCTCTCTGGCAGGGGAGGAGAATCACTCTACCCCAAAAGAAATCAATCCAGTGTTTGTCTCTAAAAACACTTAAAGATTAGCAATAAGATAACACTTAAAGATTAGCAATAAGATGATTCCTTGTCATGTGTAATTGATTAGAACAATGCATGGTGAGGGAACATTTAGTGCTAGCTTGGGCAGATGCTACTGGAGCTAAACCCAGATCTGGAAAGCCAACTGTGCCTCTTCCTTTAGTTAAGTGTTTTTGCCCCAAATCCAACCATATTGAATATTTGCTAACTTACCTCCTCTTCTCTAAATCATAGGATTCCATTTGACACATACTTTTACTCACACACTGCTTTCTATTCTCCAGATTTTTGTTACAGCCACCCACCTGCTCTATTTCTCATTGTCCTTTTTTTGTATAATGTTCTCCCTACCTCCAGGGAGTAAGAATTTAGAGATACCAGAATTTGTTGGAAGAAAGGGAGAAACCAGGGGGGAAATGCATGTAAGAGACTGCTCTATTTAGTTCTTAAATATACGAATACCTGAAGCATGAAGGTAATACTAGTAGGCTCTTCTCCTTGTAGCTGGAGGTAAACAGGAAAGATCTACCCACAGGATATAATTGTTACTTAAAAACATTTTCTCACCTGACCTGTGTGTTCTGTTTCATCTTTATTAATCAAATACATCAGAAAGAACCTGGAACATAAGGTATTAAAAAAAAAAAAAAACTTTTAGTAAAAAATGATCATGTGAACTAGAGAGGCAGTTCAAAATGAGCCTTTTTTTAAATGAGCTAAAATCATGTGCAAGGTAGAATTTTTGGCTACATTTTATTGATTAGAAAATCCTAATATAAACAAACACTAAAATGATAGTCACACTAAATAATAGTCACACTCACTCTTAGCATATCATTTTTTAGTATGCTACTTTCATCATCTTATATCAAGCATATTTATTTTGGAAATAGTTTATTACAGAATTACAGACAACTGTGAAATTCTAGTGGACTTGCTCTGTGATAAGTGTCTGAGGTTTGAGTCTTTTGTTACAAGTACCCCACCCCAGGGGCTCTGCTAATTATGTGATGTCAGAGACAGCTTCTAGTCTTGTGCCCTAACATTTTCCTGAGCGTGAAGAGCACCTGAGCTCTGGATTCTGAGTACTCTCAGGTCATCTTATATTTCCTAGCCCTCAGTTCAGTTAATTTCTTCCTGTTGTTTCCCTAAGAAAGTAGAAATGGACAATGTAGTCAATATCATTTTTGTATGATTAGTGTGAGGGGAAGACAGGAGTCCCAATCAGACAGCATCCTGATCAGCTCCATTAACATGTAAAACTCTCTTAACCTACAACCATTGACAACCATTGAATGGATTCTAACTCATAGGGACCCAAGGCTGTAAATAAGTTTTTGTCTCTTAGGAAGATGATGTATCATTGGCATTTCTCTATCAATCAGTAATAGCTTTCCCAAAGAAAGATTAGGATTTTCTGAACAGTAAAATGTAGAGGGGAAGGGCTAAACCAAGAAACAGAGCGCAGCATTTTTTTTTTTTTTCTTTGAAAAGAACCTGATTATGGAGTAAGTAATAGACTACTCTCTAAATTCTGATAAAAGTGGCATGAAAAGTCCATGGCACTTAAATGACTCCCCATAGAAGACTGACATTCTTTTATTGAGTGCTAGGCATTACTCTTGGTGCTGGGATAGAGCAATGTCAAAATACTCCCCATTCTCAGGAGACAAGGAACTCTGGTGGCACAGTACATAAGGCATTTGACTGCCAACCAGAAGATTAGCAGTTTAAACTCTACAGAAGGAAAATGGGACAGTCTGCTGTCATAAAGATTTACAGCCTTGGAAACCCAATGGGGATTGCAGTGAGTGAGGAGGGAACAGACATGGTGAGGCTTAGAAATTCACTGCTGAACTCAGGGCCACGCAGGTCACTGGAGACCTTGACAAGAGCAGATCTTTTATTGTGATAGGGAGGGAAGGTAGAGACAAATGAGTATGGACAATTTTCAAGTGGTGAAGAAAGCACAAATCTATAACTTGTGCATGTATGGAACATACATGTTTTCTGATTACTTTTTCAGAGAAATTGGCAGAAATGTCATTAGGGACAGATTAAGAAGCAACTTAAGGTGGGGAAATAGAGGTGAAGAAACTTTGAGTAGGTGAGAGGAGGGGCTGAGATTTCAGGCAAGATTGTGGAATAGGGAGATAAGCTACAGTGACCTTCTACAACAAAGAAACAACAAAATCAAATGAAACATACAAAAGATTAGCTTTTCCTTCAAAGCTAAGGAATAGATTAAATACTGAATAGAAGAAATGGAATGAAAACAATGAATAAGGAGAAAGAGCTGGTGACTGACCTGATGGCATAGCCACTTTGAATATGTGAAGTGGTAAGATCTGGACAGACCTGATAAACATTTCCACTTGCCAAGGACTGCATGGTCAACCAAACTGGCAGCTGATGAACAGAAAACAACCATGGCTACAACCCTATCAACAATAGATGGCAGCCACACCTACCATAACCTGCTATACACAAACAGCTAACAGATATGTGCGCACATTCTCATCCTTACCAGTGCAGAGGTAGTGCCTAATTACCAACTAGAGTAGCACACCAGCCATGCTAATTAAGACAAACCCTGGCTGAATCACACCAACATATAATCACCAATTAAATATAAATATGACAACTGGGCAATGTCTTAGAGATAACTGAAAATCCCAGTTCACATCAAGAAGCAAGATAAAATAGAAGAAACAAGGGACTGAAAAAAAAAAAATGGAGTCATGAAACCTCCCTGAAAAATAAGTGGTATTGGAACTACCTGAAAAGGAATATGAAAGAATTAGATACCTTTAACAGATTTTAGAGACACACCAAGGAAATCCAGAAGGCTAATAAATAAGATTTCAGAAATAGGTAATACATGGTAAGGCCAAAAGAGTAGAATCTAATCAGAAAACAAGAACAACAAAAAGAAGTCTAAGATTCACCTGGGACACCATCAAGAGGAATAACTTATGTGGAACTGGAATTCCATAACCAAAAAGCCACAGAGAAAAGTGTTGAAGATTTGTTGGACGAGAACTTCCCTCGTATTATGAAAGACAAGAAAATACTCAATCCAAAAGTTCAAAGAATCCCAGACAGGATAGACTTCAAAAGACAATCACCAAGGAATATCGTACTGAAACTTCAAAGACAAAGAATCCTGAAAGCAGCATGGGATAAACAAAAAGTTACCTACAAAGGGCAGCCAAGACCAAGCTTTGATTTTGCAAAAGCCATGCAGACCCCCATGCAGACAAGATAGTATGCAGAACACCTTGAAGGAAAAGAGTCACCACAAGAATTATGTACCCAGCAAAACTGTCCCTCAAATATGATAGTGAATTTTTTGGCTAAAGGGACTCCTTCAGACAGAGAACCATGAACAGCAGACACCTACCTGTGATTAACACACATTTCAATATAACCCAGAAAACAATGCAGATACTGAAGTATCCAAAGTGAAAGAAACTTAGAGAAACTTACAAGACCAAAAACACATAATCAGAGACATCAATTTGTAAAAGAGATCAAATACAAAGCAGAAAGGAGGAGTAAATAGTGTAGGTACAGAACTTTCAAATGGAGAGGAAGTCAAGATGATATTGAGCTAAAATGGACTGTTTTAAACTTGAGAAGAATAAATCACAGGTAACCACAAACTAAAGAGGAAAGGCAGAAATACTTAGCAAG